TTGAGTATCGTTAACATCACTTTAATTTGTAATTGAGTACATTTCGCGAATTGTGTACAGTTTGGGTTCAATCAGAATATAGGGTTGGCAGAAACTTGCGGCCGCCTGCTAAAGTCGAAGGTAGGCGGAACTAGTCGTGAGCTGTGGAAGAGTTTCCAGTAACCATATAAGTAGTGTTCCGTTTAGACAACCTACTGCGATATCTCGAATATTGTACGACTTGAAACATGGAGTGGTCTTTGTTCAACACGTTCGGTTGAAGGAGACCCTCGCAAGCGAGAGAGTCAGCCTTGGCTTATTTAAATCTCCAGTTGGAACCAAATTGATATGTAGATGTGTGTTTCGTAAGTTCAGCTGACTAGGAGGGTGGTTCCAAAATTATGCCCCCAATGTCGTATTTAGATTTGGCATTAGCAACCCTGACTCTTGATCCTGGCTACCTTAGACCCTTACTATTTCCTTTTCTGATTACCTTGAACTTTGTTTTGCACACACACACTTTGGTTACGGCGTTTATTCTCACGTGTTTATTTCCTTTTCAGACACAGTTGCGATTTCAAACTCTTCTTCTAAATGGTGCTTTTCTCTCAGTATTTTCTGGAAGCGTTTACACGTGCTATTGCCATTTGGATATTGCGTGTCGAATAAATATACACAAGATTTACAAACTCTCGTGTTTTTTTTTCAAAGTCGTATTGTATCGCTTGTCAGGTGTTTGGATCCTGACAGTCACTCATGGAATGTATGCGTAGCCCCGGGAGGTTTAGTTAACGCTTGTTTTAACTTAGTCCACCATGCGTGAACTACGAAAAGGTTACGCCGGTGCTTCGGCTGACTGAGCAGGATAGGGTAACTGAAGGGTTGTCGGTCAATTTTCGGAGACAATGGTCTAACATCTTCGTTGATGTTCACGTGGATTGATGGGGGTATCTAAGTAGATGAGCCGGTGTCACCGGTCACGTGGTTGTCATCGTTTGGTGCGTTCCATCCAAGGTAGCTCAGTGGCTAAGGCTCGAAACAACTTGTTTGAACCCAGCCATGACTTCTCGGTTGAGCAACCCGACAGCATCTCAGTCCTGGTGTTTCTTTCGAATCATACGACAACTGCGCACCGAAAGTTCCAAGAAGACGCCACTTCCCACCGGTTAGTTAGGTAATTCATACTTCGTTACAAAGTCATTGAATGGGTGGGCTCGAACCCTCGCCTCATGCTTGCGGGCAGTTATATCAGTCCCGGTGGTTTTGCTAAAGGTTGGAACGCCAGAGCAGGTTTTGTGAACCTGCGTCATCTACGGCGTAGGCGTGACATCAGCTTAACCGTCAAGGGTCGAGTTTACAATGCTGCGGTACGCTCCCTATTACTGTACGGATCAGAAATATGACCCCTTCGTGTCGAGGACGCCTAAAGACTTTCAGTGTTTCATCATCGATTTCTTCGGAGCATTGCTCGAGCCTGGTGGGAACACCGGATAAGCACTGATGAAGTTCGCCGAATGTTATTCGGAAAAAATAACTCACCATCGATTGATGCACCGGTCACACTGCATAGGTTACGTTGGCTTGGCCACGTGCTGCGTATACCAGTCGACCGACTTCCTCGAAGGGCTCTTTCCGCACAACCACGTGAAGGGTGGAAGAGAGCCGGAGGCGGTCAAACAATGACCCGGTAGCGAAGTATACGAGCCATTACCAGCAAACTCAGCTGCACTGGTCATTGCTCTCTTCCTGGATGGGGATAACGAGACGGGCCATAATAATGATTAGAGACATTGTCAGACATGGCCCAATCGCGCACTCAATGGCGCTCGCGCATCCTAACTATTGTCTTCAATGCATAGCTCGCTTTCGAATCCCCCCGTTTAACAGTCTACCTACAGTGCTGTATTTTCGCACGAATTTATCAGCTCCCGCCTCCAATGTACAGCTACCTACCCCCCCTCCCCGAATCATCGGTGAAAGAAACTGTGACATGTGCAATCAGTGTACGACAAGTACGCATTTCTTACAAATAACAGTATATATATATAT